AGGGATGGGAAGCATCAGAGGCCACATGAAGGTAAAAGAGGGGTGGAAATTTGGACCTAATTCAATGAAATTTTCAAGCCTCGGAGCAAAAGCAGAAAGTGGCAGTGGTTAAATTTTCAACATGACAGAGAGATGAGAGAAGAGAGGCCTAAGTAGAGCTGGAGTAAGGAAAATTGTTGATATCCAACAAAAGGGAGGGGCAAGAGACAGTACTCCTCGTAACCCTTTTTATTTGGAGGAATTGGGTAGAATTTAAGGAGAACTTGTTCAATTTGAGAACAAGCTCACAAAGTGAAGGAGCAATGGATGGAGATTGGTTCTGCCTCTGTTCAAGGCAGAAGCAGAGACATCTCAGAAAACCTTGCACATAACACTCACTTTGTGGAAAAAATACATTATAACCTCTTCCCCAATTTTCTTTGTCATTTCCAGATTTATTCTCATTTCACACTTTGTCAATCTAATGAAATTATCACACTGTTTCACCACTGAGTATTTCCACCATTTTCTGTGTTTACATCACATACAATACACAAGTAACTTTGTACGGTTGCTTTACAAATAGAAAATATTTGCTCAGTGATTAAGGTTCCACAACCCTCTGGGGTAGAGAATCCCAAAGATTGGTTTCCCGCCGAGTGAAGAATTTCTGCCTGATCACAGTCTTAAATGGCCTGCCCCTTACTGTGAGATTACATTCTCTGGTTCTGGTATATACCACCTACACACAGGGTCAATACAGCATGGATGCAGACCCTTCAGTCCAACTACCCCACGCCAACCATATTCCCAAATCAAACTAGTCCCATTTGCCTATGTTTGATCCATATCCCTCTATATATTTCCTATTCATGTACTTATCCAAATGTCTTTTAAATCTTGTAACTATACCTGCAATCACCACTTCCTCTGGCAGTTCATTCCACACACAAACCACTGTGAAAAAAGATGCCCCTCCTTTTTAAAACTTTCTCCTCTGACCTTAGAAAGAAAAGCCCCCGAGTTTTGAACTCCCCCACCCAAGGGGGAAGATTCTTGCTATTCACCTTATCTGTGCCCCTCGTGATTTTATAAACCTCTATAACGTCACCCCTCAATCTCCTCTTTCCAGTGAGCCAAATCCCAGCCCCTCCTTATAACAAACCCTCCATTCCCAGCAACATTTTGGTAAATATTTTCTGAACTCGCTCCAATTTAATTATATCCTTCCGAGAGCTGTATTATTCCAATTATGCAAGTCATATTCATAATTCTGATATCACAAATATGGTATTGTGCAAGTCAAATAAATATTTGCAACCTAAAGTAGATAGATCTCATATCATAACTCATTGGGAACAGTACACAGTGGAACAAAATGACTTAATGGTCGCCTGTCACTTTTAAATAGTTTGGGACAAGAGGAGCAATGAAAATCAATACATTTTATAAATCTTCTGAATATAAGGGAACGGTTTTCAACAGGCCGGATAAATAATCTTGGATTGAGCAATGGTTCCTATTTGCAACTTATGGCATGTGGAATTTTCACCAAGGAAATATTATTCTAAGGTTTTGGAGTAGATCTGTAGCTCGAGTTGTGGGTGTTGAGGTTGGTTGGCTCGCCGAGCTGGTTTGTTGTTTCGCAGACGTTTCGTTACCATGCTTGGTAACATCCTCAGTGCAGCCTCCGATGAAGCGTCGGTGTGTTTTCTCGCCTGGTTTTTAAACTCTGGGGTCGGTTCAGATGGATTGCCTCACTTCCTGTTTTCCTTCGTAGTGGAATGTATATGGGGTTGAGTTCAATGTGTTTATTAAAAGCATGCTTCGTGGTGTGCCATGCTTCCAGGAATTCTCGTGCTTGTCTCTGCCTAGTCTGTCCCAGGATCTTGGTGTTGCCCCAGTCGAAGTCATGGTTCTCCTTGTCCATGTGGATTGAGATGAGTGAGTACTCACACACTCATCACACTACCCTACATCAGGAACACGTCGGAACTCACCACAAGACTCCTACGACCGCTGGGCATCAGAGTGGCACACAAGTCCACGTCAACCCTACGACAACTGCTCACCTGAACTAAAGACCCACTCCCTGCCATGGACAGGACCAGTGTCATCTACAAAATCCCCTGCAGAGACTGCGAGAAACACTACATCGGACAAACAGGAAGGAAACTAACAACAAGAGTACATGAACACCAACTGGCTACAAAAAGACACGACCAATACTCCCTCATCTCAATCCACATGGACAGGGAGAACCACGACTTCGACTGGGACAACACCAAGATCCTGGGACAGGCTAGGCGGAGACAAGCACGAGAATTCCTGGAAGCATGCTTTTAATAAACACATTGAACTCAACCCCATATACATTCCACTACGAAGGAAAACCGGAAGTGAGGCAATCCATCTGAACGGACCCCAGAGTTTAAAAACCAGGCGGGAAAACAAACCGACGCTTCATCGGAGGCTGTACTGAGGATGTTACCAAGCACAGTAACGAAACATCTGCAAAACAACAAATCAGCTCGGCGAGCCAACCAATCTCAAGTAGTATTATTCTAATATAAAACGTACTCTAGTACAAACTCTAATGCAACAAGGGGTGTTGCTGTGTATATTCGATTGTGAAAGAAAGATTTTGTCAGATGGGGCTTTTCACACCTCAATATAATTTCTCCATAGTGATTCAGCACCTAATCATCAAGTTTAAATGCATTAGTAATGCATCCTGCTTATATTTGCATCTGATTATTGCTAATATGGTGATAAATCTGTTTTCATTATAGATTTAACCCTGAAAGAGATAATGAAACGCGGAACTTCCAGAATTTATGGTAGACTCACTCTACTCTCCTCTTAATAAACAATGATTCTGGGAAAGAAAAGCATAATTTCAAACAGTTATTATCTGAATATATTTATCAGAGTAATTACTTTTGTTCATTTGTGCTTTACAAGACATTAGGCCACTTATGTCAACATGTTCAATCAATTTAATTAATCCATCTCATTTTTAAAATGATATTAACTTTCCGTCAACTACTTTTAATACAATTCTACCCTGACACACTATTATGGTATGGAGACGTTTCTGAATCACCAGACTGTCTTGAAGCTTAGCAATCATAGATCCTTGCCTCAAATTGTGCGGTTAAAGTGAAGTAGAATTAGAATTAGTGTGGAAACAGGCCATTCGGCCCAACAAGTCCACACCACCCCTCTAAAGAGCATCCCACCCAGACCCATTATCCTACCCCTGATTTTCCATGTCTCACCCACCTAACCTAAACACCCCTGGGCACTATGGGCAATTTAGCCTGGCCAATCCACCTAGCCTGCACATCTTTGGACTGTGGGAGGAAACCGGAGCACCCAGAGGAAACCCACGCAGACACGGGGAGAATGTGCAAACTCCACACAGACAGTCGCCCAAGGGTGGAATCGAACCCGGGTCCCTGGCGCTGAGGCAGCAGTGCTAACCACTGAGCCACCATGCCGCCCCAAGTACTTCCAATAATGAAATAAAATTTATTAACATTTTCCCCAATTAGCAACATATTTCCTCATTAGAGGAGAAAATCAATAAGACATTTTCCTTTTTACCATTTCAGAAATATAGTTTAAGAAGACATTTTAATAATCCAGACAATAATCCAGAGAAGCTCCATTTATTCGTAGTGTTGTTTCAGGCTTGCTGGTAGAACTATCTGAACCAGAATTAGCTTGTACTAACTGAACATGATGCTGTACCAAGTTAGTAATGAATTTTCTTCACTTGGCTACCTTTAAACTGCCTTCCAAGCATATATTTTTTTAAAAAGTGACACTTGCAGAAAAAGATGGAAACCACTTAGGCAAACATATGTTCAAAGAATCAATGACAATTTCAATCTAAATGCTGAGAGATAAATTTGCAAACATGAGCAAACAATGAGACTTGGATTATGGGCATAGAAAGTGTTCAAACTTGAATTTTAAACAGGTAATGATTACAAGATACACTTCTCCTACAACGTTTCCTTGTACATACGTTAAGCAAACTCCAAGCAGTAAGCAGTATTTGATTCAATGCAGTTGAGCATTAAGCAATAGTTCCCTTCTCCACAAGTCATGAAAACATAAGGAAAGTTAGAAGAAAACCTTGAGCTTATTGGTTTGAATGGCACAAATCTCCCTTGCAAGGCAAAGCAGGTCATTTTAATCTAACTCATTATCTTTGACACAATATGAAATCTCATCTCAAAATGTTTGATGGTGGAACACTGATGCTGATGAAAATGTCCACAGACGCGGAGCAAAACGCACTGGGGTCACACCATGGACAAGGGTACGTGTCATCTATTTAATTGCATTTGCTAACTTTACTTAAAAAACATTATGTCCATGCAGTTTATAATTGGACAGGAATTCTTTGCTGAAGAATTGACAGTTACTAGTGCAACAGCAGAGACATATTTCTTCGCTATCATTTTCAGCTGTCTTTGACTCAGGAACAGAAATGCCAGTCAGAATCCTAAATCGTATAAGGAAGAAATTAAGTACCCATGTTTACAAAATTGTTATGCACAGCTCATTATTGCCCACAGATGCTAACTAACATTACATTTTGAGAAACCAGCGAAATTATTGGAACAAACTTCTGTAACCACAATGGCATTGTAGGAATGAGCGCAATGACATCAGTCCTTGTAGATTTCACACAAACACTAATCTTATGAATAAGGAGCAGTCACGTATATCATGACATTTTCAGGGATTGATATTTTGGAATCTGTACATATTTATGTCCCAAAAGACCCACTTTCGAGATTGTCCAGGCTGCAAGGTGTTTAAACAAATTAAATAAGCAAAAACACTTATTTCACTAGTTATCTGGATGTCACTTACCTGGTAAGTGTGCTAAATTCTAAACAAATACACCTTCCAAATTGAACTCTCCTGTGATCTAATTATCTTTTATAAATAAAAATAATCCACAATTTCAAAGTGATCTACCCCAGTTCTGATCTACTCACATTCCACCAATCGTAACCGTGCAACAGGTCCGTTCAGGGAATGCCGGGGTCACGTTCGTAGATGGGGTAGCTTGTCTGATGTAGTCAACTGTCACATTAACCTAATGAACAAAGAGAAAAAAAACTCCGATCAGCTTGAGGCATGTCAAATTAATCTAACTTCTGTCAAAAGCATAGTAACAAATCTGGCGAACCCTTATGGTCAATAAAGATCAAAAGGATCCACCAAATGCTAGAGATCGAAATGGAAAATATTTGACTTCTACAAATCAGTCAATATATGATCAAGGTGAACTGATATTCAAGTCAGGACACTTCACCCAACCAAATATTTTGAGAACAATTAGCCAATGTAAAACAAGTAAGAAAACTGAAAGATCACAAAGAATATTAATTTGTTAAAGAACACCACCTACTAAAGAATTTGCTATGGTAGTGAAAGAAAACCAATTTTCCCTTTAGGCTATAGCATTAAATTTAGAGTTGGGCCACTCAGGTCAATTGCCTGCTCTTGGCCAAATACTGTCAGGATCCACTTGAAATTTCCATTCAACAGCAAATTCAGTGAACGGTGACTTGTTAAGTATCAATGCCCTGCTGATGCCCTTGGTCTATAGCTAGCATTTAACTGTTTTGTTTTATCGGGCTAAGAATTAAAGTATGATAAGGAAGTAAAATAGGTGTCTCCAAGCTTTAGATAAGATAAACAAGCTCTACAAGACAGTATTTAATTTGTCAAATAGACAAACTGTTCAGAATAGTACCTGCACTATAGATCCAAGGAGAATAATTATGCAGGGTTTGGGTGGAAGGAAGAGATGGTGCAGCATGCTAACATCACTGGACTCGTAATGCAGAGACCCAGACTAACAATATGCAGATATGGTTAGAATTTAAGGGTCTTGTGGTGGAGTGGTAGTGTCCCCACTCATAACCCAAAAGGTTTCAGTGATGTGTCGTAACATATCTGACCAGAGTGATTATAAATGCCTATCATTACACCTTTTATACAATTGCACCTTATAAAAACACAGGTTTTAAGCAAGTGCATTTGCTGAATAATGAGTAAGGTGAAGGAGTATTTTTCTCTCCTTTCTCTTCTCATTTAATTCATTTACCATTCAGTGCTTGGCTCCCATATTGGTGCAGCTGCTGCTGAGTTACTGGCACCTCATTCTACCGGTGATAAATCAACCATACAATTAAAGTATCACATGGCAGTTTAACCAACTTGAACATGCAGCCTGTGGAACGTGGGAAGTTATCGGTTCAACACATGACCCGTACAAACACAGGAAGTGTCACTGCATAAGCTTGAGCTCTGCGGTTCGGAACCAGAGTAGTGGCTGGAGTTACGTTTATACAAACGTCAAGCAGAGATCTACATGGGTAGCATGTTTCCGGAATCGGAAAACTCCACTCCTTATGGGTGTGCAGGCAAATGAAGAATTGACGACTGTCAGGCAGTTGAAGAGAACCAGAAAGGAAGCACAGGATTTCCTGGACAATTTCACCTGAACTTTGATCTTCTTCTTTTGATGCTGATGAGGGTGTTGATTTCTCAGTGGAGTGCAGTCACAGCCAAGTCAGTGGCACCACAAGTAGCTCAACTGCAGAGATGGGGAGGAAGAAGAATGGAAGACCAATACTGATAGGGGATTCTTCAGTTAGGGGAACAGACAGGTGTTTCTGCGGCCATCAACGTAACTGCAGGGTGGCATGCTACCTCCCTGGTAGCAAGGTCAAGGATGTCACAGAATACCTTCACTGCATTCTTCAGAAGAAGGATTAACAGCTAGAGATTGTGGTTGAATGCACTTAGCATTCACAAAAAGGTTGATATGACTGCACGAATTGAGGTAGGTTGATATGATTTAATTGTCATTATAGAGAAATGGCAACAGAGTGATAAAGGGAACTGAATATCAAAGGATATTACACTCCAACGCTCCTGCTCTTCTTTGCACTTATGCCAAGGATAATTTTAAAGCCAAGAGACAGACAAATTATTGTGTTATTATTTTGGCAATATTAACACCAATTTGTTTTAAAAAGTAATAAAACAGACTTAATAAAAGGCAGGGAGAATAAAATGCTTTTTTTTAATAAAAGCAAAAAAAAAAAGGAAGTCCTACTGTGCATGACATATCTACATCCACATAAATATTCTCAACTATAAATCAATGGTGTGTTTGATATGAAAACAGAAGACAACCACTCAACCACGAAGGTACTGTTAGCCTGACTGGCATGCCACATCTGTCATAGAATTAATCAGCAAATATATTCATATCCTTGGTTTCCTTAAAGAAAACACAGCAGCAAGAATCAAATATTTCCTTTTTAGGGGCTGTCGGGGATAGGTGAGCTTCAGACTTACAAACAGAAGTATTACTGCACTGCATACCCACATCAGTGCCAATAAAAATATAAAGCTTGCAACATGCATGAATGACTGATTCCAGTATATTGCAGATCAGAGTTGTGGTTCTCAGCCAAACATTTTAAGAATCCTTGCAGTAAGTGGTGAACTGTGCACTAATTTTCCATTAAACAAATTACTGTTTTAATCTCAAAATACATTTTAGTGAGATAATCCACTTCAAATTAAAACTCCATGTAATGCATTGGAGTTGAACTATTGTTTTAGAACCTATTGTCCACAAAATAAAGAGCTGAGTAAGTGCTTTGAATCATGGACAAGTAAAGCAAACCATCGAGCTTCATGGTCAGCGTTGAGAGACACAAAGGCAACTGCTATAAACTGAACAGAAAAGAAAATCATGAACCAAAATGTGGAAAGCCAAAAGCAGAAACTGTATTTTCAGTAAAATTGAAGGGTTAGGTGAGCAAAAGATGTGCTCTACGTAATAAGAACATAGTTGACAGCCAGTTTCACACCTCGTTTAACCGAAGTGGCCAAGCGAAATGGCACTCATGCCCAGCGAGTTAACAATAAAACTCAAAATAGCCCAGTCCAAAAAAAGGGTAAGCTTTTAAGACCATGTATTAAATACATTTCTAACTATTTATGCTTATTTTAAAAATGCATTTATCACGTTGTAACAAATAATAAACAATGCACAATTGGATTACTGCTCCAACAGTAACTTCACTTCAACATTACACAATGAGATATAGAAGAGACAATCACCACCTAATCACCAAATCACCAGTACAAAGCCAACTTCAACATCAATAGACCAAGAGTTGGAAATTTTAATACTTAGCAAAATGAAACTCCATAACCACACAACATTAAGAATCACGACTTAGTGATTATTCAAGTACTAAAGCAAACTCAATTTAATTCCTCTAAATTGTTGAAAGTGCTCTGTAACCTAACCCCCAAAACTTCAATCAGCCAATTTAAAATTATCAAAAATGATCACTGAATCAAAACTATACAATTTACATGGGACAACATCCTGGAGACATGATATACTAACACAAGTGATAAAACATAGAATTACACATACTATACTTCACCATTGTTACCCTTGTTGTAGCTGATCTAAGGAGGGGAACTAACTACGCAATGAAACAGGGCTAATTAATAATCTGGTCATAAAGGAATCTATAGTAAACAATAAACACAACATAACAGAAATTTACATAAAAATTGGAAGAGACGCAGTCCATTCGGAAAATAGGCTCTCATATCTAAACAAAAGGAAACTTCAAATGCACAAGGGATAATTGGTGATGGTGGACTGAAACATTATGCAAAGGTGTGACAGCCAAGAGTCACTGACTAATTTTTTTTCTCTTTATTTCAGGAATGCAGATGTCACTAGCTGGGCCAACATTTAATGCCCATCTCTAATTTCTGCAGTGGTGGTGCAGGTAAACTCTCCTTAAATCACCATAGTTATTGGGGTGCAGGGTCACCCACATTGCCTTTAGGGAACAGAGCTCCAATATTTGACTGGACAGTTTTGGAGGAACAGCAACGTAATTCAAGGTCAGAATGGTATATGTCAAGCATCTTGAATGTTCTAAATGCTGCATTCATCTAGGCAAGTGGAGTATTCCATCACAGTCCTGAAGCACCATGGCTCTGTAGTGTAGAGTTTATCACATTTGCCTCATATGGAATAGGTCCCTCGGTAGAGGCCAGGTCGTTGCGTATATTTAAGATGGAGTTAGATAAGAAAGTGGGAGAATGGGGTTGAAAAACTTATCAGCCATGATTGAATGGCAGAGCAGACTCGATGGGTTGAATGGCCTAATTTCTGCTCCTATGTCTTATGGTCAAAAGCAGACAGAAACATTAAAGTGCATGTGGCACAGTGGTATCAGTGCCTTTGGACAAGAAGGTCCAAATTCAAGCACCATATGTCATAACATGTCAGAACAAGTTGTTTAAAATATCCATACCAGCCTCACGTATGGCAGGCAAATCACTTTCACAAACTTTTTTAAAAATCTATTTTCCCAACTCTTTATAGCATTATATGTGCTTTAACAGCAATGAATTAAGTGGAAAAATCCTCTTTGAAATCTATGTTCTTGCACATTTGCAGAATTGTACACAACAAATCGATTACAGCAGGTCAAAGAGAAGTAATGAACACAAAACTCAGATTTAATTTATTTTGAAAAATATAAATAGCGAGAAATCAGTGATGCAGCAAAACATCAAAAAGTTCACAAGCTATAATACTGGCTATACAAAGCTACACTAGCCAACTTTTGAGACTGAACTACAAAAACTCAATTGGGTTGTTCAGAGAATTTGATCCTAATTTCCCCTTAATCATTACAATAAAACTATTGGCATTAACTGCCTTGCAGATAGTCTCTGTTACCATCACTTATGAACAAAGACCAATTGAGAAAAGATAGCTGCAAAAAGCACCCACGTCCATCTGTCCACTAATTGAGGATTATCCCAAACCACGTTACTAGATTTGATTGCCTTTTTTAGTAACGCAAGCTTCCCCCAATGGCAGGGAAATCAAGTTTAATTAAGTCACCTATTTTAAGCACTGAATCCAAAGAGGGGAATGTTTAAATTCAAGTTCAAGGGCACTGCCATCACAGATACGCACGCCATTCCAAAATCCTTAGGTATGTCTCAGAATTGGCAATCAATTCCAG